CTTAAATGAGCTTTGTTTATTTTTCAAAAATCGTTGAGCCTCTGCTTATAGGAGCTTTATTTATTTTTTCAAGTCATTGAGCCTCTACTTAGAGGAGCTTTGATCAAAATTTTAACCAAAAAACAACAAAAAAAAGCAAAAAAAATGTCGAGTTGAGTCTTGAATGAGTGTCTGCGTCTTTACACAATTCTTGTTTCACAAAAATATGCAAAAAGAGGTAGTTATAGACACCCAATTTGGTCCAGGCCTGGTCCAAATAGGTAATATGGGCTCATTTTCTTTTTAATTTTAATTTAATTTATTTTAATTTTTAATTTTTATTATTATTATTATTATTATTATTATTATTATTATTATTTATCTATTAATATTTTTATTATTTATCTATTGTTATTATTTTTTAGTTATCTATTAATATATTTTATTATTTATCTATTATTTTTATATTTATCTTTTTTTTTCTTGATCAATTTTCGGTTGGGATTAGGATGATGATCAGAAAAAATTGGAATGAATTTGGTAATGAATTTGAGGACTGGCAGAGTTGGGATTTGATTCAAAGTTTGAATCTCAATCCTAAATGAAATTGGGATTAATCAGAAACTCTTTTGATCAATCCTTGTAAATAGATGTTGAAACAGAACCCAAGGACACACAGAGAAACACATAGAGAGAAAACGGGAGCAAAAATAGTGTTTAGAAGCAGTTTAGAATTTTTAAGAAATTTTTTTTGAATTTTTGGCTTTTTTTTCCAAAAAATTCTAGAAATTCCAGATTCTGAGCAATTTTTCAGTGAGTTTTTTAGCCAACTTTGAAGTTTTCGGCCAAATTTTTTAGTTTTCGATAGGTTTTTCAGATTCTGGTAAACATTCAACTGAAATCTAAGTTCTGTTTAGAGAGAATGAAGAGAAAAAGAAAAAAGAGAGAGAGGGAAGGAAGCAATCTACGGACAAGCAGAAGTTGGAGCCTTTTATACTGTCCAAAAACAACGTTGTTTTTGTGTTTAAATCCCAGAAGATCCGCGTATTTTGTCAAGATCCGACCTTATCCGAGCTTCGGCCCGCTTTTGACTTGCGTCTGACTCGAGTGCCAACCAACCCCTAGAGTCGAGCTGCTTTAAGATGCTATAGAGAACATATATATATATATATATATATATGAGAAGAGATCAACTTACATAATGTAAAACTAAAAAAGTTTTACATATTTTCTTAATTATCAATTTCAATAAATCCAATAATGATAGATACAAGAAAAAAATAATTTAATCTCATCTTTTAGATGTATTAAAATTAATGGTTAAAAAAATATATAAATTTTTTTTAGTTTTATACTATGTAAATTAATCCATGCATCTTCTCTATATTTATATATATATATATATATATATGTATGTATGTATAGATCAAGTCACCTTGTGTAAAACTGATTTATTTTACATTTTTTTTTATTTCTTGTAAAATTAATATTTTTACAAACCAATTGTTAGATTTAATAACATATTTGTACTCTGTCATGCACTTAAACTTTCAAGTTAATTCGATATCTTTATTGTTTCAATCGAAAATAATATATTTTTTAATATATATGAATGATATTGAATAAATTACTAGTTTGACTTAGTCTAATGCATTTTTTGCAAGTCGAGATGTTACATGCCAAAGGCAAATGAACAAAGATTTTTTTAAGAAAATTACAAATTAATTGCAAGTGACACCTCGATCGCTTTTAAATATTGCACAAAACTGGACCCAAGAACTTGTAGGTCTACTTCCCGAGTCACATCATGCATTTAATTAAGGAGCTAGTGGGCTAATTAGTAATTAGGAATCATAATTTACAAGAAGAATATGCTATTCAAAGAGAGATTAACTAGGTGGGATTATTAAAATAATTAAGGTCTCTTATAATATTTTTGTTTTGGCTTAGAAAAAGTTAATAAGTTCTAGGAAAAGAGTTTTTTTTTTTTTTTTTTTTTTGAAGTTTGGGGAAAGGGATTTAAATCATGATATCTAGTTATCTTTTATAGGATTCTGATTTGATGCTTTTTCCTGCTTTGTTGGTGCATTATATCTATCTATATATATTATAATAGAGATTATAATTGAAATATTAAAATTTTAAATTTGTTAAATATTATTTTTAATGATTATATAAATTAACTAAATTAAATTTTAAATTTAAAAAGTTAAAAGTTTTAATCTACTAAAGTATGATCCAAATTTACCATTTATATATGAATAAGTTTGTTAAATTTCTAAAAGCTTTAACCTCAAAAAATGAAGATTAAAGGTGGCCTATCTAATAACAAATTAAATTATTTATTAATTTTTATAAATATGCTTTTAATGAGATATGCATTAATTTAATTTTGTTTATAAAATTTAAAAATTTCACTGATGAATCAAAAAACTTTTCATAAGATTATTCAATTTCTTAAATTTTTAAAATTCTTCAAATAAGTTAATAAACTTACAATTTGGATTTAAATCTTATTAGAATAAAACCAAAAAATTATTAAGAAAAAATAAACTTCCAAATTTAGAAAAAGACACACACACGCGCACGCGCACGCACGTGCGCGCACATATATATATTGCTTGGCCACCTTATCCAATGAAAGCATATATGGCATAAAATAATTTTTTAAAATATGCATAAAATAAAATTATTTATTAACCTTTCCTAAGAAATAAAATAATATATTTTTAAATTTTATTTGAATTGAAATTTTTTGCAAAGATATTAATATAACGAGAAAATAACACACGTGGTTTTTAAACTTTAAGTTAAATTTTATTTTTATTCTTAAACTTTAAAAAGTTATAATTAAGTTCTTAGTTATCCAAAATATGTATTAATGTAGTCTCTCCATTAATAAAATTATCTAAATTGATGACAAATATCAATTGGTATTATGTGATAACATCAGCTAGCATCTCACATAGTCGAGAAGGGACCAAAATAGAATTCTCCCAAAATTTAGAAATCAAAAAAGAATTCTCACTTAATTTAAAGTTTTTGAATATTTATTTTCAATATAAAACAAAAATATATATAATAAGTTATATTATAACAAAATATATAATTTTAAATTGTATTGACATATTTTTGCATTATATTTTTTGTTATAATATAACTTATTAGATAGATTTTTGTTTTAAATAGAAAATAAATATTCAAAACTTAAAATTAAGTTAAAATTTTTAAATTCCTTTTTTTAAAAATTAATACATTGTAAAACAAAAAATTATGAAAAATATTATTTTACTCATAAGTAATAATAAAACATATTATTTTCTATCCAAATAATTTATTTTTTAAATACTAAATATCTTTTATTTTTAAATATATTTTATAAAATATGTTTTATAAAAAAAGAAAAAATAAAAATGCTTTAAATTATATTTTATTTTATATGAATATAAAGTTTTTATATTTTTGAATAGATTAATAAATCTATTTTTGAAAATGATTTGAAAATTTTTATATAATATTTTAAAATGATATAGAGTTTTTATTTAATTTCTTAAACCAATATAAAAATTTTTACTTAATTTTCCATAATGATATATAATTTTAACAAAATTTTTTTGAAAATTTCAACTTAATTTGAATTTTTTAAAAATCTATTTTCTATTAAAAATATTGTTTTATTAATAAATGATATCATAATAAAAATTAAAAAATATTTTAAATTATAATATTTTATAAAATATATTTGAAAATATATAAAAATTAATTTTTTCTTGAATTATTTTTATCTTTTTCCTTTATTTATTTTTTATAAAATATATTTGAAAAAAAAAGATATTTAATATTTCAAAATATATATTTTATGGATAGAAAATAATATTTTTATTATAATTTATGAGTAAAATAATTTTTTCATAGAAAATAATTTTTTGTTTTTAAAATGACACTTTGGTCTATAAAAAATGTTGGACAATTTATTCTATATCAAATTATAAGTATATCATTGTTTCATAAAAATAAACATCAAATTAATCAAAGATACCAAGAAAAAAACTAGATTGATAAAAAGAATTTTGATAAATCATTAAAAAACTATATTGCAAGACATTAAAAAATGATTGAAAATAAATACAAAAATCATTATAATTTATTTTTTTTGAAAAATATTTTATCCCCTAACTAGCAGAAAAAATTACGAATTCAAATTTCTTTCAATTCAAAGGATAAATGGTATGCATAGAAATACATTATTTTTAAATAATGTAAAATTTATGATCAAATTTTGAATAAAAACAAACATCGTGATAATGATAAAAAGAAACTAATTAAATTAAAAGTTTTCTTTGACCCAATTATTAATTAGAAGATTTAGCTTGTATCAATTGCTAGTGGTTTAATATTTTTTTAACTTATTTTAATTTTAAAAAAGTATTTTATATTAAAAACAAAATTATAACTAATAAATTATATTTCAATAAAAATATAAAAATATAATTTTAAATTTAATATTTTATAAAATATATATAAAATATATAAAATTTTGAGATAATTTCATCTTTTGTCATTAAATTTTTAGATAATTTTATTTTGATCCCTAAACTCTGAAAAAATTTTATTTTAATTTTTTATCTGTCATATGAGATATTAACTGATGTTATCATATGATGTCAATTGATATTTATTATCAATTTAAATGATTTCATAAACTAAGAGACTACATTAATATACGTTTAAACAATTAAAAACTTAATTAAAGTTTTTTAAAATTTAAAAATTAAAATATAATTTGACTCAAAATTTAAATACCACATATGCTATTTAGCGTAATATAATTAATAAGTAGGATTTTTTTTTTTCAAAAGATCTACGAGAAGAAGTAAAGAAATTAATAAAGCCGCACGAGAAAGTTAAGACAGAAATTTTCGCGTTAGATACGTGGAAAGGTCTTCCACGATCCATTTCTTTTGTTGATTCCAGAGAGGTAAAAACAAATGAACAGATTCATGAAGACTAACCCAAAAAAAAAAAAAAAAACCAATGAAATGAACTTTTTCTATAATAAAAACAAATTTAAAATATGATTTTTTCTATTTTCTGGAATCATTTTCTCACCAACAAATCTTTGGAAACCCCACCATAAGTTTTTCCTCTAATATATAATCAATTATTTACAATCTACAATTACTTTCTTCCCTTAATGTATCCTTCTTTCATTAACATTAAGAACCATGAAAGCCGCCGACGCAGCCGCAGCCACCACCACCTCCACGACGACACTTCTCAGCTCTCCTTATAAACGCTCCAACAAGGCTAAAGGCGAAAGTAACGACGATAACGTCGTGGCTAATAAGAAAATAGGCGTTCATGGCACTGGCGGCGTTTATTATGGGAAAGTCTCGTTCACGAAATGGACCCTAGATGACGTTGTTTACGTGGCGAAATATCACCGGATGCCCTGTGTTTTCGGGGCGGGGCTGCTGTTTTTTATGTACGTGGAATACACGCTCCGAATGGTGCCAGATTCCTCGCCCCCGTTTGATCTGGGGTTCGTCGTCACTCAATCCTTCCATCGGGCGTTGGCTTCGTGGCCGGAACTTAATACCTTATTAGCTGCTCTTAACACGGTATTTGAATGCTTTTTATTTTTTCTTTTAAAATTTTCTTTTAAAAAGCTTAATTATACTAATGAATTTGATCTGATATTTCTAGTATACTTTTCAAGTTTTAGATCTGTTCTGGTTTTGATTCTATCATATATATATATATATATATATATATGTATGTATGTATTTTCAAAGCTAAAAACTAAAGAACAAGACAATGTGGTTTGCATGCCTAAAAGATTTAAAGATCTCTATAATCTATTAAATATTTTGAATATAAAAGAGACTGTAACCTGAGATATGAGATAGAGGAAAGAATCCCATATATTGGGATTTGAGATCTATCGAATATCATTTCAGGTGGTTACACGAATCGTTTGGACTAAAGCTTGAGTTCGTAATCTATTGAATTTGTTTGTACTTTGCAATATTAACACAAAATGAAAAAGAAATGTCAAAATCTGCAAAGGTAAGTTCCTTAATTTTTGCTAGATTAAAAGTATGGTCTGATCAACTTTGGTTACTATATGTTTTGGATAGGTGTTTGTTGGAATGCAATCAGTTTATATAATAGGGACCTGGCTAATTGAGGGTCGACCAAGGGCGATAATTGCAGCTTTGTTCATGTTTACATGTCGTGGGATTCTTGGTTACTCCACACAGCTCCCATTACCTCAGGTTAATTCTGAAGACATTTCTCATTTGCCCTCCTTTCCAGCTTATGCTTTTTCATATCATTGATTTTGTGTCAATTAAAAAAGTTCAATTAACATCCTTCCCCATGATTTGAAATGTCATGATATCCAGCATTGATATATATATATATATATATATATATATTATATATGATTATGATTTAATCCCTTAGATTTGATTGGTTTCTAAATTATTCACTTTGATATGAAAATCTAATTATTTATCTCACAAAAAATAGCTCAAAAGTATGAGTTTAAATCTCTGTATATATATAATAATGAATCTTCAAAATATCCTGACGTGAAATCGGAGTTTTAGAACATATAAGAATATTGTCATGAAAGTGAGGTATAATTTTGGTAACAATGGAATCTGTCTTTTTCTATAGTTGTCAGGAACAGAGTCTAAATCCTTTTGACTTTGGTTTTGGAATTGGGATATTCAGGTGGAAAGATAGATGTGAAGTTGCTGTTCTCCAAGGTTGATTTATTGTAATCGATTCATTGATATGATCAATATTCATCAATGGCAGGAATTTGTAGGGTCAGGAATGGATTTTCCAGTAGGGAATGTATCATTTTTCCTCTTCTTCTCTGGCCACGTTGCTGGATCTGTGATTGCATCGTTAGACATGAGGCGAATGCAGAGATGCGGATTGGCATGGTTATTTGACACTCTCAATGTCCTTCAAGCTGTGAGATTGCTAGGCACAAGGGGTCACTACACCATTGATTTGGCAGTTGGTGTAGGTGCCGGAATTTTATTCGATTTGCTTGCAGGCAAGTATGTAGAGAGCAAGAGAAAATCTGCACTCGTTTCAGGTACCACGAAAAAGAGGGTTTGTTGAGCAGGTAAAAGGAAAAAATGCCAATGAATTTTTTTTTTTTTTTAAATGGAGTTCTAATGTTCTAGTGCTCATTAATTTTTTGATAAAGGCCTCTGTTTTCTTCAAGTGCTTTCACATTGCTTTCTGTCATTAAGTATTTGAAAGAACAATGGAATTAGGGGAAAGGACTAGTTTGAAGAAGTCAAAGAAGAAAAGAATAAAATTTATCTGAGATTTTGACTGCTTCTTAATTATTAGTATCTTATTTAGTTTATTTATTTGGATAATTCTTTGAGGAATTTAATAAAATGTGTTCAAAATCGTGGGATTGGAAATTTAAATGTGAGATTCAAACAAATACTTGAATATTTGTTAAAGAGATTAGTTTAATAAGGTGTAGTTTAGTATGCAGGATGAAAGTGACTTGTCCATTCAAAAGCTGTTTTTTATTCAATTTTATCAAATAAAAGAAATAGATTGCGGTTAGTGTAAGTCTTACCCTTTTTTTATTTTTGGATTAAAATTAAATTTATGATTAATTTAAACTAAATTAATATTTTTAATTTTAATAATTTTAATCAAAAATAAAAAAATTGTAAAACTTACATTAGTATAACAAATTGTGGTTTTTTCTAATCCAAGTTTGATTACAAATTCAAACAAAAAAGTTTCTAAATAGGTTTTGGTTCAATCACAATTTTTGTTGGTATAATAATTTTATGATTTTTATATTTATTTACAATAATACCAAATACTTAAAAATTCTTAAATTATAATTCTGTCATCATATTTTTTAAAGACAATTTTTTCCACCGAAATAAAACTAAATTAGGCATAAATACAATTTGGGCTCTTACATCACTATACCAATTTTGTTCTTATATATATATATATATATATATATATTATTAATTTTTAAAATAAAAGAAAAAAAGGTTAAAAAAAAAAGTCTTTGATTTTAACTCTGGCAGCTGAAATCAAGCTGCCAGAGTGATCCAAATTTTTTCCTGACACTACCTAATATGGCATCATAAAATTCGGTGACCAAAAGTCACCGGATAGACATCTAAATTTTTCACAAAAGATCTCAGAATATCTGAGATCTTAAATCTCAAAAGCTTTATAAATAGAGTTAAGTTTTGCTACAAGGGAGAACAAGAAGAACAATAAGAACAATAAGAGGGAACACACACAATTAAAAAAAAAACTAACAACAAACATATAAAAAAATTTTCGAGAATGAAATTCTCGATCTAGGAAGTTTGAGATTTTTTTGGAAAAATCTAGGCTTGAAAAAGTGTTTAAAAAGCAAAAAAGATCATTTGGGGAATTTTTGAAAAGCTTTTTGGGTCGTCGAAAACTGAAAAAGTTTGAATATTTTGGTGCCCGTTGAAATTTCGACCATCGAAATCTAGGGATCTTTAAATTTTTTGACGCCATTGAAGTTTTCGGCCATCGGTGCGTGGCGACAACCTACTGAAAACTAGGCTCTACGGTGACTAGCATAAGGGTTGGGTTTGTTTAGAGAGAAGAGCTTTAGGTAGAGAGAGAAAGGGGAAAGGAGAAAATAAAGAAAAAAAAAACAGAAACAGGCCTTTTATAGGCCCTTCAAAATGACGTCGTTTTCGATGTCTGAACGTAGTCCGACCCGCATAGGATCCGTGCACCAACCTAACCTGTTTCATAGGTTTTCTTTTTTTTTTTCTTTTTTTTTTAAATTTTGATTTTGATTTTATTTATTTTGTGTTGATTTTTTTTATGTTGATTTTTTTATTTCATTTTTTTATGATATTATTGTTATTATTATTATTATTGTTATTTTATATTAATAATTCTTTAAAATAAAAATAAGACAAAAATAACATAAAGACTTAAAAATATAATATGCAAAAAAAAATTAATACTAACTTTTTAATGAAAATAAAATTTTATTACAACCAAAAATATTATTTAAATTTCATCAAAGTGTTGGGATAATTTAAAAAATAATAATTTTTGCTAAAAAAAATAATAAATTATAAAAAAATGATAAAAATAAATAAATTGTTTAAATGAATCTTTTAAATGTAATTTTAGAGAAAGCTAAAAGAGTTTAATTTTCTTTAATTATTGCAAGTAAAAATAATTTTCGGATTTCACCATAGAGTTGGGATAATCCAAAATTATTTTCACTAAAATAAAGATTGATATAAACAATGTAAAACAATAATAAAAAATGAAATTAACAATAATTGATATCTTGATTTTTTAAAAAATATATATATAAAAAATTGAAAGAGTTCGATTTTCTTCAAACAAGAGATTAATATTTAGATTTCACCGATGAGATGAGATAATCTAAATTTAAAAAAATTAAATAATAAATAATAAAATTTTAAAAAATAATCATAATAAAGATTAATCAATTAATTCCTTTAACTATAAAAATATGATTTTATTTAAGATCTTGCCAAAATTGAGATCATCTTAAAACTTGTCCAAAATTTTTAGGATTTCACCAAAGAGTTGGGATAATTTTAAAATTTGTTTAATAAATTTTGAGAACTCACCAAAAAGTCAGGATGTTCCTAAAATCTTTTTAAAAAAAAATAATTAAAATATCTTATGACGAAGTTTCGAGAATTTTGTGAATGATCGATTTTCTCAAAACATTTTTCTAAATAGTGATTTTCTATAAATTCCACCAAAGCGTTGGAGAATTTATACAACACGAAGTAGTGATAATAATGATAATTTCATAATAGAGAAAAATGTTCTAAAATAAAATTTAGAAAATTAAACTTAAATAAAAGACCACGTTATCAAAATTATAAGATTACGCATGTTTAAATGGTATTGTTCTTTAAACGGGCGATGTGAGGGTGCTAATACTTTTTTCACTTGTAACCATACTCCCGGATCTAGTTCTGATTTCGTAGACCTAAACTTCTTTTAGTGAGTTTTAATTAATTTTAAAATTTTTACTAAAAGATGATATTTTGAGTGACCAATCACACCCTATAAAAAGATTGGTGGCGACTCAAAAAATTTTCACCAAGTCTAGCAATCGAGTCCCTTCCGGACGAAAAATCGTTATGACAGCTTGCCAACTCTATTGGAGACTTGCCTAAGAGTCAACCAAAACTTAAACATACGTCATCCAAATTTTGATTTCATGGTCTTTTCGATATTTAATTTTAATTTCTTATCTCATCTTAGAATAAATTTTTGGTTTCATTTAGTTTTGATATGTGATTGTACTTATTTTTATATTATTGCTAATTATATTGTTAATTTTATTTGTTACATTCCCTCACACACTTGCACATTTGCATTCATGCATGAGTTCTATACCCGAGCTCCCAAATATATTCCTTTTTAGGAAAGAATAAAGTACATACACTTTTGTGAGGTTATAATACCTCTATTTGGGCTAGCAAAATACTTCTATTCAAGTTGAACCATTTTCGTCAGTAGCCCGTTATGGGTGAGGATTAAGAGCCTTATTAGTCCAAAGTGGATGACAATGAGGATCAATTTGGGAACCTTTTTAGCCTATGTTAATTACCAAACCATGCATATAGTGAACCTTAAGAAACTAACCTTAGATAAGGCCATACCATTTTTGTAGATTATACCCTAAATTAGGACACATAAGAGAATATTTATGTTAATATGATTACTAACCCTACTTTGTTTTGCTCTCATTTTATTTCATGATCATGCTTTATCATAAACACTTGTATATGGGATGTGCTTGTCAATATGCCAATATCAATAAAAAAAATTTCAGTCTTGCCTTAGAAACACCATCATGATGTTCTCTACTTCAAAGCTCACCATGTGTGAAGAGACCAATGTGGTGATAAGTTTATCCTTAGAAGCCTAAAGTAGAATGGGAAATTGTTTGAAAAAATATGAATAAGAAATTTTGCCAAAAGAAATCAAGCTGGGACTTCAACAAAATGACATCTCTGAGTTGGCCGAAATCTGGCTCTTTGTAACAACTTTTAGGAAGATGGCTTTCGAGGAAAAATACAGTCATATTGCTTCACTGCTTGAGGTGCCTACGAAAAATCAGTTGATAAGAGCTTTAGTTCAGTTTTGGGATCCTGCATACATATGTTTTATATTCAACGAAATAGATATGACCCTGAAGATCGAAAAGTATACTACATTGTTATGGTTGCATCTTCCCAATCCATACAAAATCTATTGGCGAGGTCAAAAATTTGGATCTCAAAATAAACTCGCATGTATGATAGAGGTTCCCACTCATAATGTGAACTCGTATATCTAAACAAAATACAAAAGTGATTGTATCCTGTAGAAAATCTTACGTGATTACATCATCAAACACTTAGAGGATGAACGAGGCATGAGAATGATAGCTTTGGCAATTTATGGCTTGATCATCGTTTCGAAGGTCCTAGGGCATATTGAGGTATCAGTGATTGACTTTCTCGAGCAAGTGGATAATAAAATCAATCATGTTCCTTCTATACTAGCAGAGACTTTTAGATCATTGAGTCATTGTCGAAGAAGAGGGGGACGCTTCATAGGGTGTGCACAGTTACTCCATATTTGGGTAAAATATCATCTTCAATATCCTATGGGTAAATTTCATCCTACTTATAGTAATAAAAGTCGACCAATTGAAGAATGCTGCAATGTTGAGTGGCCAGAATCAAAGACCAAAGAATAGTGGGTATTGACTTTGCAAATCTCACTAGTGCTTAGGTTATATGGAGAGCTCCATGGATGCCATGAGAAACCATGTTATACAGGTGTGGTGATAAGCCATAGGTTTCACTTTTAGGACCCTAGGAAGGTATAAGCTATGCTCTGGCATTGGTTCGTCAACAATTAGGGTTAGAGAATTTATCCCAATGACTCATGGGCTTCAAGAATTGGAATTTTTTTTTGAGGAATCAGGATTTTTGGGAAAGATAAAAAGATTATCAGAGAATGAAAGCAAACTTGGATAGTAGATTGTGGGGGATATACAGACAAAGCCACACTTGAATATCTGATATGGAGAAGTCATTGAGTCATAAGTAAAGTTAGTCCTAAAGAAAATAGACCATGCCACCAAAAAGACACCCATTATGAAAAGATTCCTGAGGATATGAAGATTATGAAGCACAAATTTGAAGATGAAAAAAAAATATCGGAGCTTGAAAAGAAAAAGCTTCAACATGAGATTAATGAGCGGAAAGACAAACTGATAAGAGTGAAGCAAAATCTCAGAGGCTTGAAAGAGAATAAGAAAATATCTCTGAAAGTTGTTATAAGTCCATCGCCACAATGACTACGGAGTTTGAAAAATCCAAAAAGAATGCAAAATAGCTTCGGTCTAATTTATTAACTAAGGAAGAAAAGCTTAGTCAATCTGTGGAAGAAAAGAAGATACTACAAAGTCTTGTAGACGACTTAAAATAGCAAATGCATTATCGACATGAAGCCATTCAAGTTTTAAAAGAGGAACGAGATCAATT